GTAGTAGTAGTAGTAGTAGTCGTAATCGTAGTAGTAGTAGTAGTAGGAGGAGGAGGAAGAGGAAAAGGAAGAGAGGAGGAGGAGGAGGAGGAGGAGAAGGAGGGGGAAGAGGAGGAGGAGGAGCAGGAGGAGGAGGGGGGAGAAGTAGGAGGAGGGCGGAGGAGGAGTGATGATGATGATGATGATGATGAGGAGGAGGAGGAGGAGGAGGAGGAGGAGGAGGAGGAGGAGGAGGGGAAGGGTCGAGGCTCGAGCATCCAGCTTTGCTGGATGCATCTGGCCCCTTTTCTTGGGGCAGTCGAGACATGCCCCTCAGATCCTGGCGCTGCAACTTTCCACAACGGGCGCTCTCGCTGGGGTTCGGGCCCCGGGGCACTCACAGATCGGCCTGGCTCCAAACATGAAGAATCGAGATGGAGTCTAGTGTCCTGGTCGTGATTGTTGGCGATGTTTCAGCTTGTTCGCAGCGTCGGATCTCAGGGCAGGCATGCTCGCGCCGTGTGGGGTAGGGCGGCGGGTGCTATTTCCCTCTTTGGCCGCAGGGGGGCGCTCGCTGGGCCAGGGGGGCCGCGACTGGACAACCGGGATGAAGAGCTGGCCCAAAGGAATGGGTTCAGACCTCCGCAGGTCGCGCCATTCTTCACATACAAAGAACATGTCGTCGTCGTCGTCGTCGTCGTCGTCGTCGTCGTCGTCGTCGTCGTCGTCGTCGTCGTCGTCGTCGTCGTCGTCGTCGTCGTCGTCGTCGTCGTCGTCGTCGTCGTCGTCGTCGTCGTCTCTGGCCCTCCTCGGGCCTCCGCGGAAGCCCCCCTGGGGCGGCCTCAGGGAGAGCTCTGGGCCAGGGAGAGCTCTCTGGCCCTCTGGCCCTCCTCGGGCCTCCGCGGAAGCCCCCCTGGGATCGGGGATCTTCTGACCCGGGTCAATCCAAGCCCGGGTCAGCAGGAAACCAAAAACTGCAATGCAGGAGAAACAAAAAAAAAAAAACTGCAGCGCAGGTCTTCGCAAACCCGGGTCAGCCGACATGCGCGGCCGCCTCGCGGCCACGAGCGGCTCGCTGACCCGGGTCAGCCAAAGGGGGTCTTCGCAAGATCCTGCGGGATCCGGTGCCGTGGAAGACCCCCGTCTGCATTGACCCCCGTCTCGAGGCTCCCGATGGGAGGCCTCCGAGAGAGCTCCGGGGGCCTCTGGAGGCGCCCGAGCGGAGGCCCCTGGAGACCTGCGAGGCTCTCCCCTCGCTCGCGCCCCTGTGGGCGTCCTGGGCGGCCACGGGCCCATTCGCCTCGGGATCCTAGCGAGGGGAGCCCTCCTCCACCTCCTCCTCCTCCTCCTCCTCCCGCCTCCTCCACCTCCTCCTCCTCCTCCTCCTCCTCCTCCTCCTCCTCTTCCTCCTCCTCCTCCTCCTCCTCCTCCTCCTCCTCCTCCTCCTGCTGTTGGAGGCAGCCGCCTCCCAAACCCGAGAGCCTCGCGAGGAAGAACGCGGTCTCCCACACCACGCCGCCGCTGTGCTCGGTGGCCTGGCGGTCCTGCCGGACTTCGACGTGGCCACCGCCCACGCGGAAGCGAACGGCGGGCCTGTTCGCCAGCTCGAAGAGCTTCTCCGACACGGCGCCCGGCGCAGCAAGCGCGGACTCAAAGTCCGCCGCGCTGCCTTGGCATAAGATTGCTTGTTTTTATGTCGGCGACGCTTGTTACCTCAGGGAACGGGAGGGGTTGGGGCCCCGGGCAACGGTAACGCTTGGGCGCGGTGGGGCACGTCGGCGCGGGGGCGCGCTGCGATCGACACAGTATGCGCGCGAACACCGGCTAAGGGGGGGGATGTCCAGGCCCCCCCCCCTCGCCATCGCTTGGACGTCCACTCCCTGTGTTTTTGTTCGGTGCCGTGCGTGGCTTTTCCCCCAAATGATCCAGGATGCTCCTCGATGGTCCTCGCCGAGGAAAAAATGCACACGTCCGAGCGATGCCAAGAGGGGGGGGATGTCCAGGCCCCCCCCCCCACGTACGATCGTTGCCGTTTCCCGGGGGGGGAAGGGGGTTCGGCCCGGGCACGGCCAGGCCTAGGGCAGAGGAGCACCCTTCAGGAACAGGCGACCCTCCGCGGGCCCAAACGGAAGAACATTCGGGGGCGCGTTCCCCCGGGATGCACAAGAGCATCCAAACAAACACCCCTGCCCGAACGGACCTCGATCTTACACCTCGGTCAGTCCGCAACAACCGTTACGCGCCAGAAGATAAACAACACAACAACAACAACAACAACAACAACAACAACAACAACAACAACAACAACAACAACAACAACGACAACGACAACGACAACGACAACGACAACGACAACGACAACGACAACGACAACGACAACGACAACGACAACGACAATGACAACGACAACGACACCGACACCGACACCGACAACGACAACGACAACGACAACGGACAACGACAACACAACGGACGATCGCAACGACAAACGACACAACAGCAAACAGCAACAAAACAACGAAACATACCAACAACTATAGCTTAAGTACTCGTTCGCCCGTAGATGCTCGCAGTGTCAATACGTATATCCCAACCCCGATACCCGCCCTCTTCGTCTTCGATCGAGCCCCTTTTGGGGGTATACCTTTCTTCCCTGCATGCCGGGCCCCGGCAAGTGGCGGGGCGGCCGCGGACCGTCGGCCTGGCCAGCGGCAGCGCTGATCGGCGGGGCGGCCGCGGACCGTCGACCCGACCCCAAGAGGGACGGACAAGGGACCGACCACGACGACGACGACGTCGACGACGACGGCGACGACGACGACGACGACGACGACGACGACGACGACGACGACGACGACGACACGGCGACGACGACAAGCGAAAGCGAGAGCGAGAGAGACGACAGCGGGCTCGAAGGCAATGATTAGGCCACGATAAGTACAGCGGGGACTCCAAGGGAATGTCGTATGGGGCCCAGATTATAAAGAAGAGCGCGAACGAGTCGGGGGCCACGAAGGGCAGATAATGCGTGGCCAAAGAAGGCAACGATTGGGCCACTGAGGGTAACAACTGGGCCTCGTAGGACAGCGAGGGGGGCACAAAGGGCGACAAAGGGGCCACGAAGGGCACGCACATGGGGCTACGACGGGCGCGAACTTCCTGGGTGACTGGGTGCCGGGAGCGCGGGCTTGGCAAATTGAAGGGAATTCTAACGCAAGGGCCTTCTCAAATAAACCGTCAAGAATTTCGCAGCGAGAGCGCGAAACCCCCAGAGCGCCGGGAGAGCGATCCTGCATTAATCGTAAAAGAAGTCCAAACGGAGCGCGATTCCTGCATAAAATGCGAGGAAGTTTCGGGCGGAAGCGGGGGTCCTGGCCAAATTGTGAAGAAATTTCAAGCGGGAGCCGTTGTTGTTGTAACCCGGGGGCCAGGGGCCCAAACTGAGCATCAAGACTTTCCCTGTCAAAAAAACAGGGTGCGAGCGTCGAGGGGCACACTTTGATTGAGAAAAAATATGCACCGGTAGGGGGATCGACAATACCTATTCTTCGCAAATGAGAGTTCAACAACAACAACAGCAGCAGCAGCAGCACCAACAACAACAACCTCATCATCAACAGCAACAACTACAACGACAACAACAACAACCCAACAACACATCATTTTAGACTGTTCACCCTTATCTGCTCGAGTGTCGCAATAAAACGCGAAATTTCCCAAACCCTTTGATAATACCCGCCCTCTTCGTTTTCGATCGAAGCCTTTTGGGGGGGTAGACCATTATTCTCTGCAGGCCGGGGCGGTGCCCCGGCAAGCGGCGGGGCGGCCGCGGACCGGAGGCCTGGCAAGCGCAGCGCTATCGCGGGGCGGCCGCGGCTCGTCCGCCCCGACCCCAAGAGGGAACGGACGAAGGGACCTCCACGGACGACACAACGCCGAGACGACGGCGACGTCGAAGACGACGGCGACGACAAACGACAACGCGTCGACGACGAGCGAAATGCGAGAGCCAGAGAGAACGACAGCAGGGCCACGAAGGACATGAAGTAGGGCACGAAGGGCGGCAGCGGGGACAGGAAGGGAATGCGCATGGGGTCACGAAGAGTGCGAACGAGCGGGGGCCACGAAAGGCAGGTAATGCGGGGCCACAGAAGGAAGGCAACGATGGGGCCACTGAGGGTAGCAACTGGGCCACGTAGGACAGAGAAAAGGACACAAATGGCGACAGCTGGGCCACGAAGGGCACGCACATGGGGCCACAACGGGCGCGACTCCTGGGTGCCTGGGTGTCGGGAGCGCGGCGCTTGGGCAAATTGCAAAAAAATCCAACGCAAGGGCGCTATTCTTCAGTAAATTGCAAGCACATCTCCAGCGAGAGCGCGACTCCAGAGCGCCGGGAGAGCGATTCCTGAATAAATCGCAAAGAAGTCCAAAGCGAGAGCGCGATTCCTGAATAAAATGCGAGGAGGTCTCGGGCGGGAGCGGGGGTCCTGGCTAAATTGCGGGGAAGTCTCAGGCGGAAGCCGTTGTTGCTGTAGCCTGGGGGCCACGGGCACAGTTCCTGTCAAAACACAGGGTGCGAGCGTCGAGGGCCCGCTTTGATTGAGGAAAAACAGTCTGCACCGGTGGAGGGGGATCAACAGTAATTATTATTCGGAAGTGATAGTTCAACAACAACATCAAACAAAAACTCCACTGGGGAAAAAAATGCTGCGTAAGACGGGCCTTCGACCACGGCAGTCCCCAGGACCAGCGCTCTGCCCCCGGCTGTTTCTCGTCCACGACTGCCCCCTGGGGACCGACGGGGCCCCCGGAGGCCGAACAAAAGCTGCAGAAAAACTGAAGACCCTTTGGCGGGAAATCCAACGGTGTTCGGAGGCGCGCTCAAGGGGTAGGGGGAGGGGGGAAGGCTTCTTAGAAGAGGGCTACTTCTTGGATGGAACAAACCTCACATCTATAGAGCAGGCCCGCGCCTTCTCTAAGAGGCAGGAGTGCATCTGAGAAGCCTTCTCCCCTCCCCCATACCCCTCTCCGCGCGTGGCCGACCCTTGCCGGAAATCGAACGCGGTTCCTGCTCACCCCGCAGCCTCAAGGAGTGGGCGATGAATGGGCGGGGGGGGGGGAGAGGGGGAAGATGCCCTTCTCGGGCCCTGAAAGCCCCCCCTCTGGGGCCCCAAATAGCCCCTCAGGGGCCCTGGGCCCCTTTTTCTGCAGCCCTCGCTGCACCCCCCATGCGTCGCCCCCCCATTACGCGTCCTCCGCAAGGAGCTCCCGCTCCCTGCCCTGGGGGAGACTTCCTCCCAGGACATCCTGCCTCGGATGGCCCCCTTCTGGGCAGGACAGCGGCCCCGTGGCGACCGACATCGAGGAGAAGCGTGGCGGCGTGGCCAGCGTGGCGGCGCGCAGAGACCAGCGCGGCGGCGTGTAGGGCTTCCGCAGACAGCTGGTGATCGTAGACTCGCTGGATCCGCTTTTGGTTGTTGGCGGTGGTGCGAGGCCAAGCCGCTGGGAGGTCTGGACCGGGGCGGACGAAAACCCAGAGACCCGACGAAAACCCAGGAGATCCGATGCTGTGATGTTTCAATACGGGGTCCGTGGAAATCTCAAAAAAAAATCCTCAGGACCGGCTTTTCGTCCTGGGTCGTTGTTTGACGGCCCCGGGGCCCAGCGAGGGCCGCTAGACGCCGAAGAATGCGAAAAACCTCCGTCTTGATTTTGTCATTGCGCTATCCCTGGAAGGGGGGGTTTTAGCGAAGGGGCGGCTTGGCGAGTCAGCTCGCGCGGCTGCCCTTCCTGGCGCCTCCCGGCGCCGGGAGGCGCACGCGTGCCGAGGAAGGCGCCCCACGGCGGGGCTGCGCGCAGCAGGTTTCGATCCCCCCGCTCAGTGGGGAGACGGCCGAGGGGCCGTTCCTATACGGGGTCCGTAGGTAGAGACGAGGAGCAGGACTCCTTTTCCAAGGCACCGAAAGCTAGCAGCGCACTGTTGTTGTTTAGCCAATACCCGAGCCAATACAGTTGCGGAAGAAGGGATGCAATAGGCAAGTGAGCGGATTTCACACACACACACACACAAAAAAAGGACATACTAGCACTAGTAATCCAAAAGCCGAATTTAGGTGACGATATTGCCCTTCTCCCACGCTTCCTCATCATCCTCATCCTCCGGCTGGTGCTATACGGCAGGGGCTCGACCACGAGAAGCCTTCCGCAAGGGGCCCAACCCCGAGGCCCCAGGACGTCAATGCGATCCTGGTGTGGGAACGTCACGCTCTGCATCGCAAGACCATCGGAAACCCGAGAAACCCAGGGCACCCTGGAAGTTGGCCTGGGCCTCCACTGTAAACCCCCCTTGGAGGTGCACGTCCGAACAGAACGTATGGCACAAACATCAAACACCCGCCACTGAGCACACGCGAGAAGGTTTCTGAGCGCGCGCGCGTCGCCCCCAAGGGGCCAGGACAGGGGGATCGGGAGGAGGAGGAGGAGAAGGAGGAGGGGGAGGCGGAAGAAAAGAAAGTCTGGAGGGTTGGGATAGATCCCATAATTAGGTCGGGAAACGAAAACTCAGACACCATGCTGGAGAGGAGGAGGAGGAGGAGGAGGAGGAGGAGGAAGAAGAAGACGACGTCGACGAAGGGGACGAGGAGGAGCCCTCTTCTTCATGGTGAGGTGCCCGCAGGCGGCGCGTCGCCGCCAGGGGGCGCCGCTGGGGCAACCGCCGGGGCACCCGCCGGGGCCGCCCCATCCCGGGGGCGCTTCCGCTTCGCCCCGGCGGCCTCTCGCGCGCGCCGCCGCGCGCCCTGGCGGGGCATCGCCACCGCCAGGGGCGGCGGGCGCGCGGGCCTGCGGCGGCGAGGCTCGGGCGGCCAGCGGTTGCGGAGGCGGGCCTGCCCTGTTCCTCCTCCTCCTCCTCCTCCTCCTCCTCC